CTGTATTCTTTCTGTTGCTCTAACAATTTATAACAAGGTCTGGTGGAGGAGTCTCTTAATGTAGAGGGTTATTTTTTCATCGCTTGATTGGCAAATTGTTCTTGTGGTCCACTTCCCCTAACTTACGAATATATAGTGGGCTTTTCCGTCTCGACAGGGACATTTAAGCTCAATGTCTCTATATGCACTAAAGAATTTTATTAAAATACGTTTTGATTTTATTTTAAAAGTGAAGCACATTTGTGTTTGTCGTCATCATTTTAATGAAAGTGAAATAATCTTGTAGACTTTAAAGTGCGTCAACAGGAACTTGTCAAGCAAAACAAGGAGATCCAACAAAACAACGATCAGCTGAAAGCTGACATTGAGCGTTTAGAAAAAAACATTTATCGCGAAATGCAACAAACTGAGCAGTACGTTGATGCTTCTTTTCTTTAAGCAATTTTGTTCCCTCTTTTCCGCACAGACTGTCAAAAGCCAATGAACTTGTGGAGCAGCGTATCCAGTCGTTAAACAAAAGTCTTGCTGAGATAGACAAAGCTGGAGAGAAGATGAGAACTGAGAAGAATGCCCTTTTGGAGGAGTATCGCGACCGCATCAACAGCTACGAGAATTGCATCCAGAAAAATGCAATTCTGAGAAATTTTGTTGAAAATTGGCGATGCCAAGTCAAGCGTAATAAGGAGCTGGTCACATTTCCAGCGGTAATTGTAAACCTGTAAGTATGATTGCTTGCGTCTTAAAGATGTTGCGCTACATGACTCCGGAAGCAAATTAGCTAAATTTCACTGACTTCACATTCTTCCAAGGCGTTGAAGGCATTAATCATGCTATTCGAATTTGCCATTGAAACAGCGTTAAAAGAATGCTGAGGCGCCTAGCTTTCTAATTCATGATTTCTCGACTCGCATTTCTGCCTCCACCTTTTATCTCAAACATTGATTCTTCCCTGTAATTGGCCACAGTTGGTACATTTGACACACGACTCGATATTCATGGGTCCACTGGCCCGAATCAGGAATTGAAAGTGGGTTCTAGAGTCATGTTTTAAACTGTCCTTTTAGCTGTTTTATTTGCTATTGATACAGTGGCCGGCAAGTCTAATCAACAAGATCAGATAACTTTTCTGTGTGATGTAAATGGATGGCATCCAGATAATGGAGCAGTCTCGCTGCTAGCACTGCGTCTCCGTAAATTTGGAAATCAGATTCATAAATTTTTACATTAGGTGTTGAGAGACTGGTAGAAGCGGTTCGTGGTACCAATACAGGATTTAGACCGAAAATTGTGAGAATAAACTCTATTGTTCATTAATATATTATCTTCCATAGAGCTACATCTTTGGAAAACTTCTACTCATGCAACATCACTGGACAGTTGGAAGGTCTTGTCAGCAACCGAGAAGCTCAGGGCGATATTCTGGCGGATGATTTTGATCCCAAAGTTGCAAATAATCATACTCAAGCGTCACCAGCTGCAAGAGGTGCGTTTCTGGTTCTACATTTTCATACCTCCATCATCATGCTTTGCAAATTTGTTGGTCTTAATACAAATGGGAGCCAAAGGTATTGGCGTCTGCGTAATGCAAAATTCTACCTGACGTAGAGGCACCTTTCATCACCTTAACCCTTGCATTCGAATTGAATTTGACCTCTTCACCTCCTATGCCTTTTTCGCCTCGCCTCCTTCCATTTTGCAAAAAAGCACTGTTTGTCTTAGCTAATGGAATCGCCTCTTCGGAATTTTCAATGCAGAATCTGCCTTATCCACATGTTCGTGTCATGCGCAACAATCCACTTGGAGTAATTGTTTTAGCAATGCACACCCACATACCACCTTGTGCAAATTCATGTAGGTTGACCAAAAAGACACAGACAGATCGCTGAGGAGCATGCATGCTTCCTATTTATTAGTTAAAAAATCAACTGTGCTATGCAAGTGGTTTACAAAACGTCTCAAATCATTTTCCATGGCTAAAATTACCCTTTGGGAAAATTTTAC